ACACACACACTCCTATTGAGGCTGTCAGGAACCATCTGAGGTTTTTAGTTTTATGTCGATTCAGCTGTTTTTCTCCAGAAACAGGAAGTTATGAAACATGAATATTAATTGTTCTGTCTCCTGCTGGCCTCTGATTGGCTGCTGTGTGTGGTCTCCAGCTGCAGGCCCGTCCTCAGCGTGTTGGCGGACAGCGATGAAGAGTCGTCCAGTGCTGCTTCTTCTGATGAAGAGGAGCTGCTGCTGTCGGAGCCTCACTGTCCAGCTGGGGAGAAAGGCTCAGTGGCGCCCCCTGAAGGGTAAACACACACACTGTCATGCTCCTGGTCCCAGGCTAAAACCAGAACCTACCACCATCACATGCCGACTCACCCTAACAGTTGACTGAAAAACGACATTTTCTAATTTTATTACCACAAAAACCTGATTAGTGTGGAGTGCATGTATATTCAGTGTTTCTGGGTCAGCCTTCACTTCACATTTTTGCCAGTCTTCTTTGCAAAATAGAAGAGCATCAGTGAGATTGGAGGGACTGGACTTTGACTAGGCCATGTTCTGCTGTGATCACACGTGGCTCTAAAAAAACAGATAAAACATGTTTGTGACGTATAAAAAGTGAAATGAACTGAAATAAGCATTTCCCTTAGCTGCAGACTGACCCCTGACCTATGGTTCTCCTGATGGGAGATTAACCTCCACCCAGCCTTAGCTCTGATTTATTTTTGGGGTAACGGAGTGAAAGGGGGTTGGATAAAAATACTCTCCACATTTTTGAGGTTTTTATTAAAAAAGAATACATAAACATCAGTGTGTGTGTTGCTGAAGAAACCTGAGAGGGGTGTGAATACTTTATGCAGCTTCTGCAGTTTTATGGAATCGTTGTCATGATGGCTCTGGATGCAGAGGCTCCTCCAGGCTGCTGCCAAAAGCAGGACGAGTAAAACTCTCCTCCTCTAATTCGTTTGGTTTCCTCACAGCGGAGGAAGAACCGGGAGGAAGATTTTAAGATTTGTGGACAAAATCACCAAATCCAAGTGTTTCCAGCGAGCGGCGGAGAACGAGTTCATCAGGAGGAAGTTTGAGGATTTGTCCAACACGCCCCTGCTGCTGTCAGTGGAGGTCCGGGAACTGTCCGGCACGCTGGTGGTCAACATCCCAGCGCCCCCTACTGACAGGATCTGGTAAGGCAGAAACTTCAACATCCAGATGAATATTTACACAGGATGATGATGGGTGGCACAGCGCCTCCTAGCTGCATGTCCAGGAGGAACAGAAGAAGAGCTTTACACACACCTCAATATTCTGATTCATAAAATCTTTACTGCTTTTGGAAGGACTGAGGACATTTTTAGTTTTCCTAAAACTATGAAAATATGGTTAAAATCCTGTCATGAAGCCGATTCTCCATCCTTAACTTTGAGGCTCAACTTTCACAGCCTGACAGACGCAGCTTCATCGACTTCCTGTGGAAAACCTCCAACTGAATGTGAAATGATCAGAGATCAATGATCTGATCACAATCTGATCACAATCTGATCACAATCTGCATCATTTGAAATCATTTTCTCCCCATTTCCTTCCAAAAGTAAAATCATTTCCTTCCTTCCCCTGGTCAGTGCAGCAGTCAGGTCTTCTCGTGTTTCAGACTCAGACCAGTTTCTCCGTCTCCTCTGCAGGTACAGCTTCTGCGTGCCGCCCAAACTGGACCTGCATGTTTGCCCCAAGCTGGGGCAGCGAGAGCTGAGCTTCTGCCATGTGAGCGACTGGATCGAGAAGAAGCTGCAGGACGAGTTCCAGGTGAGGAAGATAAAAAACGTCTTTGGTTCTGAACCGGGTCCTCATGTTTCCTTTGCTGTCTCCTTTCTCCTGCTTAGAAAGTGTTTGTGCTGCCAAACATGGACGACATTTCCGTCCCACTGATGCATTCTGGGATGGATGAGTCCTTCAGCTCCTCCTGGGAGGATCCGGCTGCCGCTCACTGCTAGTGCCTCGCTGCTGACGGAAACCAGGAAGAACCGAGTAAAACCAACAAACCGCCATGTTTAAAAAAAACAGTTCATCCAGTTTAAACAAGTTTACATGTCAATAATCTGATTTTAGTTATTTATTCAGTTTTATTTTGGAATATTAGATGTGAAACATTCAGAAATAAAAGCTTTTTTAATAAACATGTGGATATTTATTCTTCCACCTCAAAGCTTAATATCATCTCCATAAAAACACAATATAATAATCCATAAAGCATAAAGGCTCCAAAACTTCATGTTTTATTGGGTTGATAAGCCAATAATCAGTCAAACGATTCCTGAGTCCTGGCCGGACGCCGCAGCATTTGGGTAAGGTCATTTTATTTATAAAGCAAAGTTTCAGCAACAAGGCCATTCAAAGTGCTTTATATGAATTAAAAGGAAATGCAAACAAAAAAGGAAAGAAAGAAAAACAAAAGAGAGGAAAGGACACATTAGGGCAGGTGGCAACATTCAGACAAAACAAAGACATGAGTGAAGGCGGTGACATCACAGGGCCATGAAGCCACGTTGCTCAGCCTCCCGGCAGAAGTCCAATAAGAGCGCTCAGCTCCACAGCTCCATGGAAACAGGAGGGGGTGAGGAGAGAAGGAGCGCTGTGTTTACAGACCTTCAAGGAGATTAGAGATATGCAGCCCTTCCAAGGCCACACGGGGAAAGCCAATTCAGAAACAGAATGTCTTAGGTCGGGAAGATTATAAATTTCAATCTTCCCTAAAGTCTCTCCGATACATCTCAGTTCCCAATCATCCAAATTAGTTTGGTTGTTCCACTGAACCGAAACCAGCAACTTCTCCAAGATCGATTCCATCCTGTTAGTGAGTTTTAGAGTCCTCGTCTCTGTCCACACCAACAGTCTGAGTGTTCGCTAGTTCGGCCAAGTCCGTCACAAGTTTGTTGATGATCCAGGAATCCACAAACTCCAAACAGCAGAAATCCTGTTATCATAATAAATCCAGGGTGAATCCTGCCGGGTTTGCCCCCGCAGGACAAGAGGCTCTCCTGTGCCCAGACTTCTCGACAAAAATTTGATCAATTTCATTAAGAGATCGGTTGACCAGATCCATAATTTGTAGATTTGGAGGATGTGCAAAGAAAGGCTCCAAAAATATAGAAAAACACAAAAACAAGCAGGAAGATAAAAAACGTCTTTGGTTCTGAACCAGGGAGGGAGCAGAGGGAAGAAGCATCCGCCTTCATCGACAGCAAGAGAGAAAAAATTTAGCCTCTGCAGCATTTAGCCGGCGCTGCAGCATTTAGCCGTCGCTGCAGCATTTAGCCGTCGCTGCAGCATTTAGCCGTCGCTGCAGCCATCTGAGGTTTTTACATCAGGTGATGGAGAAAATCTAAAGTAAAAAAACCCGTTCTGAAAAATAATAGTTTTTTTTTTATCAAATTGGAAGGAAGCAGACTAACTTCATTCTCTTATTGTTTTATTTATTTTATTTCCATCGTTTCACACAAACAGCTGCTGCTGATTCGCTGACATGTTGTCTGATTTATTCATATCTCACTTTAATGTTTGTGTTCAGTAACAAAGTTTCATGAAAAAAGCAGCTTTTATTTTGGTAATGCACTTCTGCTTATCAGAAATAATTTGTAAACTTAAATATGTAGCTGGATAACTCAATATTTGGTTTGAACCTTTGAATTTTGACATTTATGAATGAATAATAACACGGTGAAAATTTGAATGAAAATGATGTCTCTTCTTTTCTCTCATTACAGATTAAATGTTGCTGGTTGTTTCTGACCAGGTAACTGTACAGAAATCTGCATTTGATTCAGAACTGATTCCTTTGGAGCAATGAAAAAAGTCTCATGTTTCCATATTTTCTCCTCTGCTTCATGTTTCGGGTTTGCCTTCCCATCTGACAGGCGATATCTCTCTAAATATCTCCCAAAGATCCTGTTGACTCGCAAACAGTCAAACATTCGTTACAACCAGTAGATGGCGCTGAAACGCAGGAGCTGCAGAGGCTGCAGCTTCTCGGCAGGATGTGACCACATAAGGTTAAACTGGTCGGCTGGCCGAACCAGCTGCAGGCTGGCGTTAGAGTTTCTGTTTCCCATCAGACCTGGAGATCTGCTGGATTCTTACTGTCTGTCTCAGGGATCCAGCAGATCTCCAGGCTGGAAGCAAACAAGCTGCTTGGAGGAAACAGAGAGAGTGAGTGAAAGCCAAAGCAGTGATGGAGATACTTTTTGTTACCCAGAATGCATTGTGGCGCCTTGCAGCGGGTCAGATGTGACAGGTTGGTGAACTGGTAGCACTGGTTTTCCTCCCAGATGGTGACTGGTGGTGTTATGGTAAACCAGACTGCAGGAAACTTTATTCATGAATCATTTCTAGAAGTTTCCTTTCATCTGCCAGGAACCAGCAGAGCTCAGAAATGTGGCAACACTGTTACCTAGCAACAAGAAGGTCTGGGTTCGAATCCCGGCCCGGGTCTTTCTGCGGTCTTAACCCAGTTAAACCAGTTAACCCAGCTCTTACTGGGTTAACCCAGTTAAACCAGTTAACCCAGTTAACCCAGCTCTTACTGGGCTAACTGGTCTCTATGAGCCTGAGATGGATGGACCCACCTGTCGCCCAGAGACAGCTGGAGAGATGGGCATTGGCAGCCTGTGACCCCGTGACCCTGAATGGATAAGCTGGTGCAGACGATGGCTGGGTGTTAAAAGAAGTGAGCTTCTGATTTAATTTCCCTTTGGGATCCATAAAGTCTTTTTATCATTTTACTTCCTGACCTTTGACCCAGTTTCGGTCAGAAGCTGAAAGCAGGACGAAGCTCTGACTTCGGTGTGTTTGTGAACGCAGCATGAAAAGCTCCACAGCCTTTCAGATGCATCATCTTGTTAAATATTTCTTGGCTTTGTCTTCAGATTTAAAACAAGTCGCTTTTATTCTCACTTCATGGAAAAGGTGCAGCAGCCATTATGTCCTGTGACACTTTCAGTAAATTTAAAATCTTCTTTCTGAAACAAAACAATAGTGATTCATTTCAAAACAATTTCTTTATGATTTTGGGATTAAATTAAGAGCAAAGTTCCTGAAGCTCAGCAGTAAAAAGGTTCAAACAAACAAAGGAGTGAATCAAATCTGCCCAGGTTTATTATTAGCAAACCATATTTTCCTTGTTCCTGAAAGGAACAGCTGTTTCTCTGAAGGAAGTCGTTTCTGCGGCTCAGTGAATCTTATCAGAGGATCCTGGACGTCTGCCAGACAAACTGCTGCTGTCCAACTTATTTAACACAAACAAAACGGACGAATTTTATGAGCTAATTATGGAGTAAAGAAGATTAATTATTATGTGAACGGAGCTTTGCAGGGAAATTGTCCACCAAACTTTCTTCCTGCAGTCGGTAGATTAATGAACAACCTGAGGGACGAAAACATCCATCGCTGATTCCCATCATAACTCACCAAAAGGAAACAGAAACGGTTTATGATTAATGGTAAACTCGATAACCTTTGACCTCTCTCTTCCAGTGCAGCCCAGGAACCCTAAAATATATTCCAAGTGGTTTATTAAAGGAAGTTCAATAAGATTCACAGCTGGTTTATTATGAGGAATGGATTTATTAATCCATTAAAACGTCATCTGACCCTGATCAGAGGCCAGAGGTCAAGTTCAACCGTCTTTAACCCGCATGCTGAGGATCCATGAGGATCCATCAGGATCCATCAGGATCCATCAGGATCCATCAGGATCACAACATGTAGACTAACAAAGCTCAGCAGCTCGTCTGTCTTCGACATTCAGCATCTGTAACAGAGTGTCTTCAGTCAGAGGCTTCTCCAGATCCGCTGTAATACAGACTGCTGCAGGAGACCTTCCCTGCCATCACTGTCTACAATACGTCTTGAAGAATTTGAATTAAAATGAGTTACAACATTTATTTTCCCTGATCCTCGGCGTTCTGCACACGCTGCAGCGGGTCGGCTTTGTTTCCCTGGAGTGAGGATGAGGTTTCTCATCATTTTGGTATTTAATGGAGCAGAACAGGATCTTTGTTTCTGCCAAAGCAACTCGGCTTTCCCTCCATTTGTTACATTTTACTTTTATTTTTTCTATATTACAGACAGCAGACTCCTGTGGGGTCATGACCTCCTGTGGGGTCATGACCTCCTGTGGGGTCATGACTGAATCCCTGCTGATGGCCTGGATGTGGAAGCCCAGCAGGAAAACCAAGCGATGCAGCTTGAATGTTTCCTGTTCAGGTGATTTTCTGTAGCAACAAACCACCAGGAAGAAAATCACACGTTCATCACTCAGAGGTCGGGTTCATCCATTCACGACTCTGCTCATGTGTATTGAATTATTTAGCTGTTTATTGTTGTTCTAGATAACAGTTTCCTTCATTTAGGCAAAAAACAATACATTTCTGTTTCACAGTTTTGACCTTTGACCTTTGTGTTTGGACTTTTTACTGTTTTTCAATCAAACTGAATTAATCAGTTTAGTTTTCAACCAGGTTGCTGAACTTTAACCCCTTCCTGCACAGAAACCTGGTGGTGGACTCAACCAGAACCCGACCCACCAGAACCCGACCCATTAGAACCTGACCAACCAGAACCCGACCCACCAGAACCCGACCCACCAGAACCCGACCCACCAGAACCC